TTAATTAGTGCTTTAATAGCTGCTTATTGCTAGAAAATTGAATGCATATAATTAATCACACCAATTATTATGGTAACGTACGGCCGAACAGAAAATCATAATCAACGAACGTTACGTTAAACAGATGAAAATATAGCCTCTGTTCCGTGGGTTGTTATATCTATTTGTACAACGTTACCAGTTCGTGAATCAAAACAAATGTAACGTCATTTATCGACTCGCATATTATTTAATTATCTGCGGTTACCACGCACATTTCGAATGTAAAGAACCATAACTGTATTATAATATTATATAACGTAGTTGTATGGATGATTTCAGATGTTATGCAATCCAACCCTAAATTCATAAGCACAGACCACAGAACCTTTTAACCTTCGCTGACGTCATCGCGATTTATTTTTCAGATTCTAAACAAAGTAAAACTGAATGATAATTTCAAAAATAATTTAAGTCACTATTTTGACGAAATCATTTGTCAAATAATTTTTATTTAATTTTAATGAAATATAGTTAAAAGGCGTAGACTACTTAAAACCATACACAATAAATATTATTGCTAACCCCGAAGATACATTCGTAATGAGTTGATAGTACAATAAAATTTAAATTTCTGAGATAACACTAGTAAAATTTTTTTTTATCATTCCAGTTATATTCATGTTTCGATAATATAAATTGAAAATAAAATTTTTCTTCCATGGAATACACAACCTTTTTTTAAACTGTGTATGAAATAAAAATGAGTAGAAGTGATAGAGGGAGTGATTTGGTAACTAATTTTATACCATTTGTATGTAAATACAATTACTTCGATCGTAATATTAACGTGTACCTATAGAGAATTGACTCGACGATTTATTATATAAGTACTGAAAAAACCTTCAACAATAAAATATGCTAAATTTATGCGAGTTAAAATGTTCAATTAAAGTTCCTTATGAAACGAACAAACGTTTCGTATATCATGCTAAGTAGGTAAAATCTCTTCGATAACTTATGCAAATGCTGTAGAAGAATCATGTCACATTGGGTGTGCATAATACAGTTGAGGCCTACGTATAACAGTTGACTTAACCTCGGGTAAGTGAAGCAGTGAAGATTAATAATTGATATTGATCAAAAAATTCAACAATAATAACATTATATTGTTTCTGTAAATTTTTTGCCCAATCATTATGCGCTGACGGTTTAATCGGCTTATTCTATAAGCGTGTGTACCTAACCTGCAACACGGAGAGTATATACCGTTACTTAACGGGTTTTAATACATTTTCTATGACACCATTTCAGGACGATTACTGTAGATAGTTCACCGATTTTATACTTGTCTGCAAACTGCTGTACTACACAAATGAACCGTAACGCATACTCTTCACATTCTAAACATTTACGCAATGACGTTCAATAAGCATCATAATAATTATTCTATGTACCACACTTGTAGTATTATTTATTACACTCACATAAACTAACATACACGTACACATAGTGGCGTACCTGATGTATTTTGCAGGTGTAGCACGATATTACTATATCCACCCACTACTCGAAAAACTCAAAGCTTAATTTTTTTTCTCTCTCAAAATTCTTAACATTATAGACATTTTACAAATAATTGCACATAGCACTAAGCAATATAATTTATATTTTGTCAGCTATTTTAATTTTTAAAAATTTATCTACGTATAATAGATACATTTTTTTTTAAATAATTAAGATCTTCAAAATTAAAATAAATAATTTAAACAATCTTACAAAACGCAGATAATGTTCTAATTCTCACGCCTTAATATTTTTGATTATGAAATTAATATGTCTCAAGTTAATTATTTTAACCCCCATGTTATTGTACCCATTCACCCGTTACTTTTTAGATGCAGGGGCTGCTACATCTAGCATTAAGATTGGACGCCACTGTACACATACACATACATATACACGTATATAAGTACATACTATTACTCGTTTAGTATACATTGGCTTCTTAACGATGTTACCATAAAAATCTTTAATTAGAAACGTGTTGCTTATCGAACTCTGATAATATGTAAACACACTATTTATCTCTGAAAACTAGAAAATCGGGTAAAGGTCAAGTACGATTTATTATAATATTTAAGCATGCAATGCAACTGTACAAGAATTGTATACACGGAACATATTGGACATTATTACAGTTTTATTTTAAGTATAATTATAATCATATTACAGTGTGTGATGGTAGTTAAGTTTATTCAATACATTTTTTCAATTCGTCTTTATGATAACAGTGATAATATTATATAACATATATTTTTGTTATAAGTAATTAAATGAAGCATTAAAAACAATGATTAAGACGGTACAAATTTAAACAATATTTTAATTTCTAGAGATACATATTTGATTTCGATGTTGTTCCTAATTTATAATATTATTACAATCGTGTGTATAATTATGTAATAATATATTGTACAGGAAATCGTGTTACGAGGAGGGAAACAATGGCTTGTGATTCGTCGGAAGTGTTCGGAAAACAAGAAATAATTTATAAAATAAATACGTATATGTACACATATTGCGTCATAACGATGCAAAAAAGCATTCCTTCATTTTTGCAAAACAATAAAAATTTGTAACTATTAAACAGCATGTTTTATGTATACGTGTTTATTAAAAAATGGTTATTACATTTAGTATTTGCTCCCTACAATTTTAAGTGTAAATCGTTAATTTGATAATATTCATACATCGTATTAACCTAAGAAACTAAATAGTAATGATATTCTCACAACGTTTAAATGTTTTATTATTATTTTTTTGTTATTAATACTTAATCCATAGTATTTTTTGGCTATATCAAATACTTAAATGATAACTAATTAACAAAAAAATATCAATGCTTCACATCTAGAATGTGATGGAACAAGGATCTCTTAACGCTTTTATTAATGATATAAGATTGAATGGATTCATTGAGAGTGAATTATATTAAGTAAAATATTAATAATTTACTCAAAGTAAAGACGTCATTTGATGTTATAGATATTTGTATAAAATTTAAATACTTTAAATTACTAATAATGTATGTATATATATATATATATATATGGAAAAAATTGAAATTGGAATTTATTCCCGTAATAAAGAAATATTATTACTATTAAATATAGTAAGGGTGTGAATTAAAACCCTGGACTTTTGTACTAAAGCAGGAAAGAGTTAGGAATTTTTTTTATACCTGACCTTGTTTTTAGGTTTTGATTGAAGTAAAATAGCTATTATTTTTACCATGATGTGTATTATTATTTTTTTTTACAATTCTTTCTATTTTTATACATTTCAAATTGAAACTAGTCGTACTGTTATACTTTTTTATTATTATACGAAATTTAGGTAATTTAAATAATTAAAATAATAAAAACAATGTTTAATAGAATACCTATAAATATAAATGATTTTTTCTCAAAATGTTGCAAACTATTTTTATTGTTTGAATAACAATTAACAAATTCAAATTAAATAACATATTTTTAATAACACAATATTAAAAAAATAAATTAAAAAAAAAAATTTAATAATTATGGTTTTAAAAACAAATGCAAATAAAAATGTCTTTTTTTTCTTAAACATATTATAGTAAAACTAATGAAAGACATATTATAAGTTTTAAATCATAGAAGCTAAATAAAATTAACCATATACTATTTGTTAATATCACAAATCTTAACAAAAATACATAATATTTTTTATCATTCGTAATTTATCGATTATAATTATTTGTTATAGAATAATTCCCTATATTTTTGTATATAAATATAGTAATATAACTGATAATTGAATATTTTGGTGATTCACACAGTCGTAGTCTTGACCGACGTGATAAAGAAAAACGTAATTTTAAGATATATAAGTATAAGTAACAAAAATTCACATCATGGACCCCTTTTATTAATTTTTGTTTTATTATATTGTTATATATTATCATACCAATACTGTTTTTTCAATATATAGTTAATAGATGACAGGCCAAGACTTTTTACATACATGTTGATAATATTAATAGGGATTTCTAAAAAATTCATTAAAAAACTTATACACAAATTTATCTACTCACCAAATTATATATATAGATATATAATTTACTAACCAGGTACTAACTATACCCAGGTGTTCTAAAAGTTTATTTGATCCCCTATAATTATAATTTGTAAGAGGAACGAAAAAAATTGGACTAATAATACAGTTATAGTATGTTTGAAGAAATTTGAATATATTAAATTAAAGTTTTTGGAGAATTTTAATAATTGAGTATCAAGTTACCACCGTTATACGGTAAAATTGTAATCTAGATGTACTTACAATTTACTAGTAAACGGAAATGATCAAAACAAAAAAATGAAAATAACATGCATTTGATGTCATTATACTTCACATAGTTAAAACTAATACAACGTTTAATCAGTATTTCAATCGAGGTTATTTTATAAAATTAGAGAAAAACCAATTTTGTAAATGACTCCCAAGTACTAAGTATATTATATAAAATATTTTTTGCATTTAATTTTTGATTTTCTATTTTCGAATTTCATTTTTAAACAAAGAAAAATGTAAATGAATTCACATATATACACAATTAATTTAATAAAGTGAAACCAACATTTTCTTCACTCTAGACAGAAATCATAGCCTTTAATATATACGAATAAATGTACGAGTATGTAAAAGATTCATTGAAAAATTATTAAAATCGAACGTAGAGCATAGATAAATAACAAAAATCTTGGGTCCATATTATGTTAAGTAAATTTTATATTTTTCCTATCCTAAATTAGTTAGCCCAGTGTTCATATTTTATTTCGAATTGCACATTTTTAACTTTGTCGTGGGAAAAACATAAACTTTAATAATTATGGTACCACGGTTTTATTTATTTGTGTTAAGTAAATTCTATTCACATTACAATTAATTTTATAGGTCATTTTTTTATAAACCATAAAGATTACAAAATATCTTACCTTAAATGTTATGTTCTACGAAAATCCAACTATCATGTGATTTCTCTATTTGGAAAGAGATATTCATACAGTTGCTTTCTACGACGGAATTAGTATTTTGGTGTTCAGTCCGTCACACAAATAAAACTGGCTGTTAGCCTCACTTAGGTCATCATTATAGCACTGACCAAAGTCTAATGTACTGCTTCTAAAGAACTGCGATTTTTTTATATTATCTTACCATTAATCTTTGTAATTTTCCCTCTTGACGCAATATATTGATGCACTTATATAATGGGAAAAAAATATAATAGTAAAATATTTTAATGTAACAATGTAAATATAAATGTCTGCACAGTTGTTCGGAAACGTAAAATTTAAGACCAAAACAAGTGTTTTTAGTAAATTTAATTGCTTAAGGTAAAACAAAATTAACCGGTACCTATAGCCCTTTAAAACTTGTCATTAGATCCTACAACGCGCGCCAACTATTTCACTTGACACTCGAATACAAAGCTTAAGCCATACAGTCCTGACTCGGTTGAACGACCTTCACTCAATCTGTTTCCATATAAATCCCACTCCCCACTTTAAACTTGTATTTGTTGGTTACCATTATTAAACGTTAAGTCTGAATTCGCACATTTGACGTATTGCAATGATAACAGCTTCTTTTTATTTTATTTACTAATCCACCTAAAGGTGTTATTAAAAATGAAATCGAAATTACTTGATATGACATTATTGTTTTTAAAACCAAGCCATGTTTTAAATGTATAGTTTTATATTTTACTAACAATTGTTGTGATTAATATTTTCTAAAGTTAAATACTTACAAAAATAATTTTTAAATCATCGATCATCATAATTTTTTTGAATAAGAACATTTTTTTTTTTTTTTTATTCAACTATAACATAATGTTTTGCATCGACTAGATTTTATATACTTGTACAGTTAAAGGCATATAACGTATGCACTATTTACAATGGGTTTAGTAGAAACTTAGTTTAGAGATCATTCACCCCACAAATAAATAAACAAGTCAATAATATTTTACAAAATAAATATTTAACGATAATGATCAACTTTTGTATTATTATAAAATATACTGTTTGCATTAGTAGTTTTAAGACCAATAAATTAATAATAATAATTTTAATTACATCTGCATTTGATAGTCAGTGCTTGTTAACGATCGGAAATTTGATTTATTAAATGATTAATTTATATATTAATATGCACTAAATATTATGGTAAAATCACAATACATTTCTGACGTAGTAAATAATTTAAGTTCAACTCGGTAAATTAAGAGGTAAGTGTGAACATTCTAATACTTCTTACGAGAACATAATAATATGATTAATCCTTCCGATGATTCGATTTCCATAGTTCAAATATCAAATATCAAACGACAACGCGATGTGTAATTATTGTTCATCATTATGCAGGTACGATGTTTTAAGTTTACGCGAAGATCATGTAAAACATGTGCGAATATTATTATTCAATAATAACAATTATTATGATTATAATAATAATAATAATAATAATAATAATAATAATAACAATAATAATAATAAAAGATGCCAATGGATCTTTTATGCTGTGTGAAAATTAAAAATACAAAATATACTTTCCACCCATTATTCTTATGAAGCTACGTTATTTATATCTATATTGTACGACATTTTTTATTATCTTTTTGATATTCAACAGACACATCCTTATTGAGAGGAACTTCATATTGTTAAGACCACTTATCTCAGAATCGTCGTGAGTTCGCGTATTTAGGTATGTATATCCACGACATGATATTTTATAATAATAACCGCCGTTATTTCACTATTAATTACACTAAAATTTTTACTCATAATGCGGGGGATCTAAAAAAACAAAATAATAATTTTATATTCTTGAACATATTACTATGTAAATAGTAGTTCAAAATTGCAAGTGATATAGATTAGTTATTAATATTATTATTGAACATTATAATAATATTATAATTTAATGAGACTCAAAAAGTTTAAAGTTTTAAGTTTTAAGTAAGTAAGTTAGTTTTAAGTTAAAGTTTAAAAGTTTTAAGCGTACTTTGACCTATGCATTTCAACGTTTATTTAGGATTTGACTTACAAGATGCTATAAATTAAACCATAAACGTGGATGCGTAGTATATATATGGTTAGAAAATTAAATCATTGGCGTGATCTTAATCATTATATTTTTGTAACCTTACTAAGTGACAATTATTGTTTAAGGACCAATACGAATTGCGACTAAAATTTGTCCCACAAATCTAAATCGTTATTACACTAGTAGGCCCGTTTGTTTTTTTTTTTACCGGATATATTGTCACGTTTCATTTTTTTAACAGTTTATTCTCGTCAACATTATATCTATAACGCACGTGTCGATTTAAACAATTAGAATGTTTCGAACGCATAGTAATATACTGTCGTGTACGCTTTTAATATTCATTATTTTTTACGCAGTAACAAAACAAAATATTACCATCCATTTATGAAAACAGTTCTAATAATATATCATGATTTATCATGATTTCTACGAAAAAAAATGTATTCGCGTTTTATAAAAATTTTATTGAGCTTATTTATTACAAAATTGCCAAATACATTTTTACCACAAGAATAAAACATCAAATTATCAATCGCTGACTGATAATTGTGCAGCCAAAACTGCTGTACACATTAATTTTAAAGCCTGAGGAAATAAACGTATTATTATATATAGGTATATAGTAATAAGAAAGTTTGATTAAAAAATTACAATTTCAAGGGTCAAAATGTTTTTGGGTCTTTTAATTAAATTTTTGGTTAAAAAATGAGTAACCCATCTAGGGAATATTTTATATGATTTAATATGATGATTATGATAATTACCGTTTTAGGTATAAGTAAGTTAATAAAATGTAAATAAATATCATTATAATATACGACGTTTGTGTGATTGTTTCAATTTAAATTTTTTTTAATCACTCTACTCTAAAATATCCAGGTATTATATAAATATAAATGTATGTATGTTATACAATATATTAAGTATGATCTAAATATTTCTGATTTATGAGATAAAATAATTGTTTGCACAATTAAACAATTTCTTAAAATAAATATAAAAATATAATGTATCTTTAGAACTGATTAAACCATTCTTCTTTAACAACATTTCTTAACACTATCACTTTGTGATCCAAGACTAGGATTTTAATATATTACACTACGAAGTTGTTTTATTTAGTTTACTATATATATAACACAAAACAATAAAAATATTTTCTTAGTTTCTGATAAGAAATATATTGGTTTTTTTGTTTTTGTCCGAAATTTAATTAAAATAAATACTATAATTACTACATTTAAAAACACAATATTTTTTAGAATTTTTCTGATATCGATAATAAATTAAGCAACTCAAATCTTTTTGTTTTCATTTGTACACACATAAAAGCATGTTATTTTATATTTTATTAATACAAAATGATGTTAGTCATAGGACAACGCTAATTGCAAGAATACAATTAAGCAATCAATAGATATGACATAAACTATCAGTCGATATAATAATAAATAGTGTTGAATGAGTTGAATTAGCTTTTTTAAGAATTAATACGGAAAATATGTAATAAAAAAATCTAATTAATAGTACAATTTTAATCAATTACCTTCATTCATATCTATTCCTATAATGACTTTTGTAACTGACATCATCTCGTTTGTACGCACTCGTTCGCAAACCACATAGAATATTTATTAGAAGTATACTACGTAAGTATATATAATATACTACGTCCAATATATTGTAGACTCATACTATGAAAACTGCAATGAATAATTTTTCCAAACGATTTTTCGATGAAATTAAATACAATATAATTACATACCGTTTTTGATAGTTAAATTATTATCAGTTACATAACGTTTTATATTCTCACAGATGTATCTATATTTATACATATATATATATATATATATATATATTTGTATATATTTTAAATGGATGGTTAATTAAAAATAATTATAATGTTTATTCTAGATTAAAATACTAAGTTAACATTAAATACTTTTCTCCTTAATCTTACACATTCCCAATCGACAACATATGATGGTCATATTATAAATCCGGTGTTTGACATACAAACGTTCAGATGTGTGTAAATATTTATGTATAGTACATACACGTATTTTTACATATTACGTACATTAATACTACATTTATCGGATTCATCCGGCGTAACATAAACGTTACCGCTTGTGATTATACTACATAAAGCTGGTTTTAATGTTGTTAAGCTGTTGTGTGTGTGTGTTTTTTTTTCTTGGTTATAGATTTTAATGATGTTGACGATTTCAATATTATAATCCGAGTACAAAAATAATATTATGCATTATCGAATAAAACCTATGAAAAAAAAACAATCACAGTTAACTTTCCGGGAAACATCGGGTGATTCAGGTATTGTTAATATGAACCAGTTCGCTAAGTTAATAATTTTTTCATAACGGGAGGCCGTCATAGTATAGAGCTAGTACAATTTTGCATTTTATAGTTACTATTTACATATAACTAACGGATACTTTACTCGTTTATGACACTTCAATGTTAATCTTCCAGTTATTAGGTAAAGAAAATATAATTTTTATTTAATTTATTTTATGAACTATTATTAACAATTTTGGCACATCTAAATTCTCTAAATTACTTCTTATTTTAAACCTCATTTTTATGAGCCGAAGGTCGAGTTCTAATTACTCCTATGATGCATGAGTGCATGGGTGAGTACCACTGCACAATGTACACATCACGCTACAATATCAGCTATTATTTACTTATACCAAGGTTTTATATGTTTATCATTATAATAACATACATTTCTAGGTGAATTTTATGATATATAGCTAAACTATTTTTGAAACCAGAAACGTTGAAAATGTATTGCGGCGTTCTCGCAATAGTTTGTTAAAAATCACAATTACACAATTACAATAGGTTAAACATTAGAAAAAAAATATATTTTTAAATTATAATATAGGGTGAAGATGAACGTGCATCACAAACTTACTCTTAGATTACATTTATTTTGTAATGTCTAAATAATGACATAATTCCTGAGATTTGATGAAGAGTTTCAATTCCTAATTTTAGGTAGAGATTTGTTATTTACCGTGCGTTGCAATGATTAACAAAATCAATTATGGTTCAATAGTTAGAAGGAATATTCATATAATATTAAAGGTATCTGTATGTTAATTAATTATTTTCAAACAAAAACAAAACATAATAATAAAGAATTAACAAATTTTAACTCTTTCCATTATAAAAAAATTAATATTTTCTGGAAATTATAATTTTTTTAAAAAACTAAACATAGAAAAAAGTTCTTAAAAAAGTGATAATTATGAAACTTAACATTAATGTGTATTGTGTATATTTGATCACTGATATATTTAAAATATAATTTTAAACTTAAAAATATACATTGTATTTAAATTTATATACTCTGAAATTTTTTATTTTTATGTTTTACATTTTTAACTTTTATCTAAATATTGATTTTCATGAATAGATATTCCTCTTCCATGGAGAATATTAAAAATAAAATAAACAGTCATGAAAATACAATTTCATAACTCATTAAATGTTTAACATTTCAGATTGTCGTTTTAATTTAATACATAAGAAATAGTTAAAGATAAATTACTCAAGAGAAGTCTTATGATTAGTATTTTAAAAACAAATTTGTTTAAAACATTACAATTATATATCCATCAAAATATGAATCAAATATTTATCAACCCATTTTTATCATCATTTCAAAAAAATAAAAAATAAACAAAAAACTTAAATTATAAATAAAATGTTTTGTTGAAGTTCAATAATAATGTACTTTAAAAAAAAGTAGAAATACTAAGTAAGATTCAATGTATTCATTGAACAATTCATAAAACGATAAAACTAGCAAAAACATATTGAATTGTTAGTCCAATAATTATATTGTTACCAAAAATATATTTAACTATTATTTTTTACTATAAAAAATTTTATGCTATTATACCAATGAGTTTTCTTGAAGTGATATTCATTTTTGGTAAATAATATAAATTTTATTAATACTAAATTAATAGGTTTGACGACAAACGTAGTAGAATTCTCGTCGAGTAATTAAATAATTTACGGTGTGTAAACAAACAAGAAAATATTCAAAGTATCATTTTTATTATTATTCAATAGTACAATATGAAAATATTACCTTTATTTAGTAATTAATATTACAAAAAATAAAATCAAAACTTATATTAATATTCTTAAATCTATGTTATTCACGTGGACCAATTAAATTAATAAATTTGGTACTTCGTTGTGAAACATTAAATAATATATTTATATATAGGCGTGTATGAATGCGTATATATATTATTTATATACAAAAATAGGTAACTTAAATGCTTAAGTCTGATAATAAAATAAAAATCAAATATTCACCTACATTTAATCTGATAAAAAAAAAACAAAATGGATTAGTGCATTTTACCTAATAAATAAACTTAGGTGGAAATGGATTTGATCTTCAGCGAATGCAATCTTATACTAATCTATCATTGTTTACCTCATTAAGAGTGACTAAACTACCTAATTAGTAAATACATCGTCTGTTAGAAAATATTCTACATTTGGGCACACCCCCAACTTCGTCTATGATTATATGCGAAGAAAGATACAGATTTATTGAGTTTTAGCACGTCATTATATTTCAGCTATGTTAACTGAATAAAATGTTTACTTTTCCAGAATCAATCAAGGGATCATCTTTAGCTTACAGTTATATAGCAATACGTGTAAACGAATACATATAATATTGTGTCTTAAACTAATTTAAATCAAGGATATATGTACATGAATTAAAAAATCAAAAAATAAATCTTAAACTATTAATTTTGCAACAGAGTGATCATGTAATATTATTATTTACGGACGTCTTAACTTATATACAAACGATACGAATAGGTGTGTCTTAACGACTGTAGGAATAAAAAAAATAAATAAAAAAATAATCTACAGAAGAACGGTGTCTTAATCCTTAGGACTCGCTTTGGCTCGCACTCCTTCTTCCATTTGGAATGCAATATTATCTAATCCAAAACTTGAAAACTGTCCCGAACCCCTGTGCGTTTGTGTTCGCCTGTCCAGTATCGTCTTCAAGTCAAAATCGTGCGAAGATAACCTGAAATCCAAACTGTTTTTCTTCTTCAGTACTCCGGGTTTCTTTTCTTCGTCATTAATCGCTGCTTCTTTTTCCTTCCTTTCCTTCCTATGTTCATTGTACATCCATCTTCCGAATAAAAAAAGTTCAGTAAGTGGGTTAACAAAGTTCATTATTACAATAACACATCACAGTATAAGACTTAATCGTTTGTACCCAGTATAGTGTTTTCCAACCAATGGGTCGCAAATTATTTTTGATGACCCACTGTTCGTAATATCTTAGTTTTCAAAATGTAATTATATATATAAGAATTCAATTTTGCAGTATTGTGTTAAATTATCATATATGTTAATAAACTCTTCAAAATAAAATTATTAATAATTTTTAAGTAAATATTAAAACATACTAATTTTTTTTTTTGTGGATCATTTATCCAACACAAAGTACATTTATGGGCCGTCTTAGTATAAAGGTTGGGAAAACTGGTACAATGGAATCTTGATAAATCAAATAAATGTCTTGACTCCTGAATCTCAATAAATTATTTATAGAATACATTTTTTTGATGGTTTAAAAAATATATATAAAGATAATAATAAAACAAAAAATAATTATCGATTTATTCTAAAAATAGTACAGTCTTTAATGTTACTTTTATATCTAATCTTTTTGTATATCGATATTAACCTTTTTATTTTAGATTTCATACTGTGCTGGGTGGATAAATATATTAAACGTATTAAAAACTAACGAAATTAAAACAAATACAATCCTGATACAACACTTACAAGAATATGAGGGCTGCGGGAGCAGTCAATGCGCCTCCGAGTAAAAAAAACGCTCCTGGAACGGTTTTCAACGTTGCTTTATATACTGCACTGTACATTGGTCCGTATATCAACGGCACTAGAGCTTCGCAGACGCCGAAGAGGGAGTTCACTTTGCCTGAAATCGTTTTGGTACAATTAGAGAATCACGACTGTCGAATAATAATAATATAGTTACCCAGTTCATCTGGTGGTACGAGTTTGGATATAATCGATCTCATAGCAATGAATGATGTACCGTTTACAATATCAACGAGTGGCGCTGTAAACGTAATTCACAAAAATATTAACACTAACACTGTTAGGGCCAAGAAAACAAAACGTTTTGGACATTTAATTAGCAAATTGGAAAAAAAAATCAAGTTGAATAGAAATTCGTTTTAAATTTTTTAACGTTCGCAAAGAATAAAGAATCATTTTTTATTACATTTACATTTTTTTTTATTTGCATTTTTTTTTTCGTTTCCATTGAATTTTTATACTTTCAGAAAAATTTAGGTAAGTAATGTATATTATTACAGATGTTTTACATACATTTTAATACAGATATGAGAAATATTCACATTTTCGTGTTAATACTTTGCCAAAATCTAGTGCAACATTGAAGACGAACTCAAAGACATAACAATATTATAAATGTATGGTTACACAATATTTCATTATCGAATTATTGTTTTTTTAATTGTTAAACTGGACGTAATTTATTTATTTATTTTTTTAATGAGTGAATATTAATTAGTTGAAAAGTAAATTTTATGTTATAAATACCATAAATATATGTAAGTATATATAATATTTTTCTTGTCACATAAAAATTAACCATATTGTAAATTACAATGGAAACCGAACAGTAGGAAATCTTAAAAATTTCGGACGTTGTCTAAACATATATAAACCATTTTCTCGGCAAAAACCGTAACTTAAGAATAAGCTATGGAAGATTATTGCGATATTAAGGAAACATAATGAGAAGCACGTTTCATCGTTCGGCTGCGTCAAACCGTACTACGTGATCCGTGATACTAACCCAAATAAAACACGAAATCGGTGGTGGCGAACGCGTAAACGAATCCGGCCAGTATTTTGCTCACGCAAGACATCACTCCGATCAATGCGTCGTCGATCTGCAACATGTGGCTGAACACGCCGACCGAGAACATCGTACCTGTTGGAGACGAAAACAAAAGCACATATTAGTGACGATTAGTACACGACGCGAAAAAATCACCGCCGACACACGTGCAGTGGATGTGCAAAATGAGACGAACCTACGAGGTTAGTGATCATCGAGTACGTGGAAAACATGCTGTAGTTGACTTCGTCCCAGTTGAACCTGACGCGCGTGAACAGATACATCACGGACATTTCACCTGTAAATTTCGCCGTTTGATTATTCCGATTTAAGACGACCGCTAGCGGTACTATTTTGTAACGATGCGGTTGCACGGCTCGAAACAAACATCGTTCATAAGATAAGACGTTTCACCAGATTTTTCGATCGCAATACGACTGTTACCGCTGTTGGCATGTCATCGCGTCGGATAATAAGTGGTTATGACGTTACATCGTAATATATTACGATTCCACCGTATAAAACTGCTTTGTTCGTGCAATTTAGGCAGGGAAAAGTTCGTTGTACATTACAAATATAATAATACTCCAGGCTAAGCATTTATTTACTGATTTATTTATTTCCGTATTTAAATTATATATTTATGTACATATTAATTTAAATGTATCAACTATTTACTAGTATTTTATATTATTTTATAGTAAATACTAGTATTTACTACTATTTACTAACTATTTACTCATTTTTGTTTTATGTTTTATTATTTGATTATTTAATATTTTCTGTTTCCCAATGTTCACAAATGAAAGTATGTGTGTACCTATGTCAACCACAGGCATAGTAACTCTTCAAATATTAAAACTGTTAATTCGTGTTTTATAAGGATTAAACGATCGGCAATTTAAGTTACTCGTATGTGATACGTCAATATCTATGAATAATGACTGTTAGTATTATCCGAACTCGTTCATACGTGCATTCATAAAACTGTGTCAAGTAATTTTACTTATAAAAAATGTATGATCGCTGTTAGGTATTACATAAAACAGTATTAAATACTATTAATAAACGGATTTGTCAACAAATAATTGTTTTTTTTTTTTTATTAGAAAATAATTATTTTATTTCTGTAGAAAAATTGTAGGGATAGTAATAAAACGGCAAAAAAGTAAAAGAAACAATATCTAATTTCTAGTAAACGGTGTTATTTAATATTTAATATATTAAATATAAATATATAATAATATATATTAAATTATATTATATTATTTTTATATATATTTAATATTTATTTAATATTTTATTTTACTCTAATAATAATAATAATAATATAATTTGTCACTTAATTGTAATAAATTAAATCATTTAAATTTAATTTTAATATTAATCTGTTTATTATAAAAATATTAAACAAAGTTCTGATTGAATGTGTAGTGTACGGATATTGTTTTCGTGATACAATTTTAATAATTTATGATCACATAACTTAATAAATGTACTCCCTATTTGCTATATTATTATTATACCTGTATATATGTATAATCATTATTTATTAAGTTTGATAAAATAAAATAAAAGATAAAAACATAAAAAAAATTAATAAATTTCAACTTGTTAATTTAAAGCTTTGTTGTTCTTTTTCTTTACTAACGTCTAAGGTCATCGCGATTGTCATAACGATGTCAGTTATTTTTTAATTTTTCGTTCCTATTGTTTTTCTCACTTTCTCCCGCCAATAAATTGTTGATTTACAAACCGACCATAGTTATAATAATATAATAGTTTCATTATTGTTTTACTATGATTTTTAAACAACCTCCGGTTATTCATAGACATTCGTATTAGATTAATTTCGATAATTATTCCACGTGTGAAGATTTAAAACGGAAAAAAAGAATTACTGATTAAAACAATACTTTTTTAAAATTGGTTGATACCGAATAGAAACTAACAAAGTAATTCTACGTTTTAACGCGTCAAAATTCAATGGAAAAATTAATAAATCAACTTGAATTACATATTATCATTATTGTGGACGCAACATAATAATATTGTAAAATTTATAATATAGCCAGCTGATGAGTATTCCACATATATTATACACGAGTGGTTTCGAATTTTTTTATAAACAGTAAGTACCTGATACTTGAATTTATATATAGTTTTACTTTGATCAAGTAGACGATAACATTTTATTTTACAAGTTCCAAGGTAATTTCCTCGACGGAGTATAATAATATACTAAATTCTGTGTTTTAACGAAAAAAATAAATCAGCGATTAAAACGCAGTATGAATAAGCGTATCGAGTTTTTTTTGAATTTACTAACCATGTAAAGGGCCCATTACAACGATAACAACGACCATCAATGAGATTATTCTTAGTCTTCGGTTGTGCTGTCCTTCTTTGAAAGTCACCCGGATGGCCTCCTTGATGTGACTGAGACTGAAAAAGTCCTTAAGGAAATCCACACAGGACGTGTCCCTCGACGGCTCTTTTTTTCTCTCGACACTGGTCTCCGTCTTGTTTTCTTTAATGAATATCATCCCGTACACGAATGCAAATATATATAATACTGTGGCTATGATGTACACACCATAGAATCCGAGTTCGCGAAACAACACACCCGACAGTGCAGTACCTATAGGCACGCCCACGGAACAGAAAACGTTCACGATACCGATTCGTAGGGTACGCATTTTCACCTGAAAAAAAAAAACAATAACATTATTGAAGCATTGAGATTAGCATATTCGTCAATTGCACCGAATTTGGGACACTACCTGTATAGTATACATCTATTGCGCCGGTATAAAAAGAGTATATTAAAAAGGTAAACATCTATTGCGCCAGTATAACAACTATACTGTTATGATGTGCATCATTCGACTGTAAAAGACGGCACAAATATTTTATTATGTATACTATTTATATGTACGTTATTTTTAAACCTTTTCAAATAAATAAATAACGGTATCTTCGATACCCGCGCGAACGACATGGGTCGAACAATAAATACTATTGACATCCTTACATTCAAAGGACAGGCCCAAGGTCCATGCCGCCACATGTGCCTATATAACAGGGACACACACCACCCTTCACAGAGCTCTTGATCTTAGGTCGTCAGTGCATTAGCACCGATCGTAAGATCAACGAAGAGCTTATATGTGCGATTTATTTTTGACTAATTTTAATTTTAATCCGTTCGACTTGTGTTTTTCATATGAGTGTTGAAGAGCATCCGGTTCTAGTACAATTAAATTCTGCATTTGTCCTTTCTTTTATTTTATTCTTCTTTACTTATAAATTATACCCTTTTTATAGCGGCGCAATAGATGTATTTACCTGTTATAATCTTTTTTTCATCCCATAATTTTTCTTTCTTTACCTGGAATTTTCGGCGCAATTGATATAAAGCCGAGATTTCAACGACCGCTCTTCGGGTACTTTCTCTCTAAACGTGTTCACAGGTCACAGAAATCTATAACAACCGTTTCGATGGATAGTATACGTGCAAAAGGCTGTCGTACAACTTTTGGTTGCTCTCGTATTAATATTGGGTTAGATCACCAGTCATCGGTTTATTCGTTAGCCGATGATTTGAAATTGAAAAAGTATTCAAATTAATTGGTGGTAAAAAATCAAATGTTTTCCATTCGTACTTCATGATCGAATATTCGAGAAAAAATATAACATTCCGATTAAGCGTCCACCTCCAACACACAAATACTGTGGCCTATGGAGAACGTTTGTCGAACAGCGTTAGCACTTAACGAAAGGATCTCGAACGCTGCAACAATCGTGGTGGTTATATCGGTGGTAAATGACTCGACACTCGTTCTAGAAAACCACCCTTAAACATGGTTTGCATTAATAGTATTTTAGTCTAGTTTTTCAAGGACTACCACACGTTTGCGAGCTGATAATTTTTAGTTAAGACGTTTATCACAGTAATTTAAACAAGCTAATACGTCTAAATCCTTTTATTTCGATACGTTCCCACCGTTCTTCTCAAACCATATGCGTGACTCTGTGCCCAAAAAATCACAAAAGGGACAATGAGCTGTACCTAAGCGTTTAAGCGGTCTGTACAAACAACTCAATACTCAACTAAACTTGACCGATAAAACGTGAACCGAACTCTTCGAACCACCTTAACGTCTATATACATAAACAGTGGCATGGCGAAATCAAATATTTTCAGAGTTAAGAATAATTTGTCGATAACCCACCCATTTCCCAAAAAACTGAGAAGCGGCCGTCTCTCAATTACTCACATCGCCACGCCACTATAAATAAAACTCTGTCGCTTACCGTGGTCACGTCTCCTACGTAGCTGAACACGGCCATGAACATGGTCATCCACCCTCCGGTCATGGCCGGTGGTACGGATTCGACTAACCCCGCGACCTCCATGGGCAACTCGTAAAAGTAGTAAGTACAGAGCAGCAGCCCGATGCTGGTGAGGAACTCGCCGATGATCGGGATCAACATGCATGGCTTGCGCTTGTGGTTTCGGTCGCTCCACGACCCGATGAATATGATGAGCACCGACGGTATGCTGCTCTGCACGATCGTCTTCCATATGATCATGTCGGCCACCAGCTCCTGGACAATCACCTCGTCTTCCTTGGTGTAGTTCTCCATGGACCGGCTCTCCAGCGCCGAGCACGTGGTGTTGTCCAACCGCAGGTTCACCCTGCATGCCTTTTGCAGGTTCAGGTTCTGCGTGGCCAACGAAGCCAACACGCTGCTCACGATGTAGCACCCAAGCATCGGTTCCACCGTGCAGTGTTTCAACATGAACTTGGCCTTGGACATGATGCTCATCGCCTGCCACGACTCGTGGTTCTCGTCCTGTGCAGACGACTTCTCGCGCTTCGCAGCGCCCGTTTCATAAGTCATTTTCGCCATCCTATATTTCTTGTAGTCTCCAATGTTTTCGTCGTTTCGATTGCTGCTGCTGCTGCTGCTGCTTCTACTGTTGCAGTTGTTGTGTCACTTTAGCCGGTGCGTAGCTTAATCAATCAGAAACGATCGACGGAAATGTCAACCGGACTCTAACATTCCCGATCACCTAAAATCATAAGAAAAAATTTATCATGTGCCAAGCATATCGTCAATGTTTAAAACATCTATTCCCCTCCTTTTCCCGTAGATATTTTCGTCGATGAACATATTTATGTTATATTTCATCCGTGCATCAACTCAATTATTCCGAAACGCTATTTAGATCATGCACACACTACTGGTTTTTGAAAAGTGCACTGACGTGCATTTCATTTATCATGATTTACCTTCTAATTTTATCCAAACGTGCTGATTTATAGTACTCATTTAGAGATGTCTACGAAATCAAAACCAAAAATGTTACGAATAAATTAAATGCATTAAATTAAATGCATTTCATTTAAAATTTTTTGTTTATTATAATAATCATGTATATGTAAATATATATATATAAATCCATATTATTTATCTTTTCTGGTGCCCAATAATATCGATACATTTTTATTCAAATTAATAAGTACAATTTTAATATGTATATATATATATATATATATATATATAACGAAATTTGAATAAAAGAAAACGACTAGGTTTTAGATCTATTAAAAAGTTGAATAAACTACGATTGTTATAACATTACACATAATTCGTTTTCTATATTATTAATAGTTTTGTAGATATTTAAATAACAATGCGTGTAAAAGTAAAATAATGTTTATATTATAATGCAGTTAGAATTTTTCTGATAATCTAAATATTACAAATGAAAAAACTAATGTCTAGCCGTAAACACATGAATGGAACGTCGGTAGTTTTTATTGACGAGAATAATACAGAATTGTGTAAGCTTACAAAGACAAACTTCAAATCAATCGGCCATTTTCTCCGCATAGTTTATTTTTAGGTGTTTTTGTGTCAAGACCATGTATCTCAGGCGTATATTTTTGCCAAGTAATTAAAGTATTATAAGGAAGAACTATTGCGACGGCATTGAGATTAAAAACCACGAAAGGGGTTCTCATATAATTATTCGTGTTTAATAACAATAATAAAAACGAGAAGGAAAAAATAACAACAACTTATGAATCAACTGACATGATGAGCTTGCGATGATTTTTAATTACAATCGACTAATAGGGCGGGTCAACGGTCCACAGCAGCATTTCTAACCAATGACCTTATGGCATACTTTTTGTAACATCATTAAGGTGACAAGATATCTTGTGTATAGTATGATAATACTATATGATAATTCTTCGTTCAGTAGTCGTATCATTTTTTCATTATTTTTTTTTCGCACTTTCTATTTTAATTTTTACTCATTTACATTCACGTAAACATTTGACGTTCTTTATTCATTACTAAATAACGTATTCTAGAAACACAAACTGATATAAACAACCGGTTAAACAATGGTAACCATTTATGACCACGATCGTAGTATCATGAATATGTGTCTATTGTCTCTCTAGTCCGTATAGTGTATATAAAATTATAAAATACCGGAATATATTACAACTCTTTGATCATAGTATTTCAATATATCTATTAGTGTTATTGCACACGTTTTTAATAAAGCATAGTTCTGAGCAGGGGCGGATTGGCAATTATTTTCGGCCCGGGAAATATAAAACAAACCGACCCATGAATCACAAATGTAACTATTTTAGTCCTCCCCCTCCCAAAAAAAATGCTTTATTTTGCATTAACTTCAAAATTTGTTTAGTTTCACCCCTAAATTAGTAAAATCTACAATTACTTTACTATAATTATAGCTATAATAGTTTTGGGTAAGTTACATGATTAATCAGTTTCAACTTGAACTTGAAGTTTTATCTTAATGCATCTTTAAATATATATTTCTTTTTTTAATGGTTTTTATTTATTTTACAAAATAAAACTTTTTTGGAAATTATATAATAATATAGAGCGGCCAAACAAGGACCGACCCATCGGGAAGATTCCCGATTTCCCGATAGGCCAATCCGCCCCTGGTTCTGAGTAAAACAACTTAAAGAATTAAAAATACTGATACCTGTAGTACGTCTTTTGTTAGATATATCAGAGTAGTGAATTTAATGCATTTGCATGTTTTTATTGCTATTTTCCATAAATAAATGGATTCGGCCAAAATTAGTTTTGTATATTTTTGAGTACTTAAGGGATATGGCATATAAATGCATATTTTCATAAATTTATCGTTTTAATGCTTTATTACAAATTTTAATAAAGTTTATAATTTTATTAGCCAATCTGACACGTTATTGACAAATGCTTTTGTTAAAATGATTTTTGATTTCAATAAAAATGTAGGTAAATTATGTATACTTACTTAGGTAAATGTGATGAATCATTATCTAATTGTATTTGTGCATTGCAACTATACTATAGAATATACATAGAGTAGTATTAATGATTATACATTTTTATCTAATAATAATCATTATTGTTCTGATATCAACAAAGCCATAACCTGACCTATATAAATTCGTTGAAAGTTTTGAAGATGAAACACTTTCAATCAGAAGAGCATAAAAACATTTTAAAGATTCGCAGATTAAAGGTGATTTGACTTTTATAAAATCAAATTTTGAAAATTTTCCTGTTGTTAAAACCCATCTTCAAGTACGCCTTGTATGTGTCTTATAGTATTATTAAAAACAATACAAATCATTCAAGATATTTCAGTCGAGTTCAGTAATTGAAGAGGCCAAACTAGAACTATTATTAACGAGAAATTACTAATAAAAATATAAATAATATAATATATAAGTAATTTAATAGTTTAAATACGTTACGCCCAAAGGATAGTCTATAAACTATAATATAATGTGTCCAATACTTCCTTTTTTTTTTTCAGATGGCCAAAAACTAAAATTATTCTTTATTTATATCTATATATTAATTATTAATTTCAATTTCTACTTTTTTAATTAAGACATTATTAAAGAGCATTAGTGCATAAGTGCATACATATACATTTATCATTCGTTAAGTGCATTAAATGTACAGCCTTATTTATTATTTACGCTCACAATAATACGAAAAAACACAAAGGTTGGAAAATAATTTATAAAAATTATAGAGTGTTTTCGTTTTTTTATGACTAAATATAAATTAACTCTTCCTAGATATCATCTATTCTTATTAATTTCCTTGATGAAAAATATACTATAGAACCACTAGACTGTAAAGTAGTAAAATCATTAGAAATCAGCCTTGGGCTATATTTGCAAACCATTTATTATTATTAATTATTATTTTATCATTAAAATGCAGCTAGAAATGTACCTACACGTAAACTCAAAATGAATAAAATATGAACAAAGTTTACGCATAAGTTGCGATGTTATCTACGAATAAATAAAATCATAATAAACAAAGATCAATATTTTTCTAGTTAATCACCTAAATAAAAGCTATGTTTAAATTTTAAATATCTTGATTCAAAGGATTTTTTCTTCCACAAATCGAATATACAATGAATTGTATATTTTTCGATATGAAGAACTTGTAAAGTGTGGTTTAAAATATCACAACTAAATAAACACTTGGTTAATTAAATGTATTCTGTGGTATTTGAAAACAATATTATGGAACTTAATGTTTTGGTAAAAGAGCAGAATCTCAAAATTTAACATAAAAAATATTAATTATACATATCATTTAAAATTTATAAGTTGTTAAAAACAAATTATTAAATCAGAAATATTAATAAATTTCTATTTAAAATAACTATAAGACCTACCTACCCAAACGGAATAAAAAGTTATTTTACTTCGTACCAAAAATTAATACATTCAAGATATAATTGAACTGACTAAACCAATAAAAGAGTTTGCGTAATTTTAATTTATATAAAAATTTGTAAATTTGTAGAAAACAAATATTATTAAACTCAATACGTAATTACTTACTATATATAGAATATTGATCATCATAATTACATTATAGATATTAATTTTCAAGGTTGTAAACATACATCATTAACACAATAAGAGAGGTATACCACCATATAATTTACTAATATAATGTGATAAAAAACAATAATTAGTCGGAAATAGTTATCGATTTCGATTACATTTATACGCAAAAATAAATATTTCCGTTCATCCATTTGTTACCGCAATACTGTTATCATATTATTTTCTATTCATATTGAGCTGTATATATAAACATTTTATACATTTCTAAGAATACCTACTACGGTAATAAAATAGCAAGTGCATTTAAATATTATAAAAAATGTACTTCCGTTCCTTGTGACCTAAAAATATTGGCGTGTACTCTTAATATACCTGTTCGGTATCGATATTGATGGAATAATTTTCAACTGCTTAAGAGGAGGACATCTTATCAAGACTCGTTGCTCCTGGCACGCATTTAACATTGCAAAATCAAGTTTAAGCATAAATCAATTGTGGTGAATATTATTGAAATGTGACTTTCAGCTGGATCATTTTTACGTAAATTAAATGGAACAACATTTTCAAGGACATGCTCACGTCATTGTTAGGTAATTTTATTGTATCGAAATTATTCATTAATTTTAAATTACTGACTACTGAAAATAAATAACATTTTATAATGAGGGTTATATTTTTATTGCTGTAAAAAATATCAATGACTCCTTGGAAATGTAATTTTATCATTAACATTTCAGTCCTAAAATAACTTCGGAGTGATTTAATTACTATTTATTCTTAAGTATATAAGTGAAATTATTTTCACCACGTTATACGCGTGGGAGAGACGTTATTCAATAGAGCATTTCTATGGAAAAATACCTTTTTTTAATTTTTTGATTCTCGAGAGAAACACAACCCAAGAAAAATTTAGCCAGGTACTATAATATTAAAAATTCACTAAAAATATGTTTTGCATTTGAAAACTACTTTGTATATCAACGATGTATCATAAACCCATGTCTTTGATTTGTATATCACAATATGTGTATATATATTTTACAATTTGTAAATGTTTACTATAAATGACTGTTTCAGTGTAATTATCGTTGAAGTACTCCTTCAAAAAAACTTGTTTAGATTTATTTTTTAAAAATGATTA